ATCATTCATTTTCTAATATAAATTTTTATTATTTTTTTAGGATCTATCTTCTGAAAAAGGTAATTTTTGAATAATATACATATTCTATCATATTTCAAACTATTGTTAGATAGATATTATATTTTAATTGTGTTGGTACAATTTTTTAACCTTTTTTAATTCACCCTTTTATTTTTATTTTTTTAATAATGTCAGTACCGTGCGTAGCACGGGTATTCACACTAGTTTCCAAAGTAACCTTCTTTAGAAAAAATATTCCCAGTGTGATGCTCTTTCACAAATTATTACCTTTTTAATATCTTTTATGCCACATAAACTTCTATCTTAAATGTTGTGAGATCTCGTATCAACAAACATCCTCCTTGTTTTGAGGGATAATTTCACAAACCTTCCCTAAGATGTATGACAATTACATTTAGCTCCCTTCACCTCTAAAACATTATGCATACCTTTCCTGAATAGTAGTTGTGGGTTTTATTTGGCTGATGTAAGGAAAAAATCATACTAATAACTCAAATTTTCCTTAAGAAGTCTTTATACTATTTAAATCAAATTATTCTATGAATACATTCTTATTTTTCTCCTAGTCTTAAATAGTCTCACCTCAAGCCTAAATCATTTTCTCTATATTCCTTTGGCCAAATTTACAACTGTATATTTGTGTTTGCAACTGTTTATTAAAATGAGGACAAATGGAAAGAATGAGAGATGTATCAATTAAAAAGCATGATTAACACTGGAATTTTTGAGACATGGAGATTTGGACTATGGAAAGGATAAGAAAACTTGAATAGGGGAAAAAAGGTGGATTGAAGCTATAGGAAAGAATTAGCATGTGAGTGAGAAGATTATTATATCTTAAAAAAGCATGGTAAGTACAATATTTGAATGTAGTGGTGTGCAACATGAAATTATCAGAAATCTTGGAAGAGGTTTTCGTAATTATCCTTTGTTGTAATATTATTCACTTTTTTTTGTACCTCGTGATTATTGGTTGCCACATTCGCACTCGAAATGCAAACGCACAAAGCAAAATTTAAGGATGAAAAATAAAAAAACCATGGCAATAAATATAGGAAAATACTCTATGTTTGATTAACGCTAAAATATTATAAAATGATTATAGTATTTCTTTTTCATTTTTTATTAGTAACACTTTTTTTAAAAAAATTAGTGGGGGAATAATAGGATTTAAGAAGCAAAGAGGGGACAGGGAGATTATAATTCAGGATCTCTAACTCTTGGGAGCAAGATGATAATATTATTTCTAAAAACCCAATATCGAATCCTGTTGATTTTGATATAAAGGAACTTGGATGATTGAAGAGTTTAAAATATAAAATACTTCTTAACTATAATATCTTATCATTAATCAAATGTGGAATCTTATGATTGTTACCTATTTTTTTGCTTTGGATTTGGTTTTTTGGTGTTTGAACTTTGAGTATGAACTGACTAAAGATTACTACAATGAGGAGATTCATTTAAGTGAGGTCTTCCTCCATTTGAAACGGGAGCTTACATGGCATAAAAAAGATTAAAATGGTAATAATTTAGAAAAGAGCATGGAAAATTTTTTCCAAAGAAGATTACTTCAGATATAAACTCCCTATAATGATGTATCAATGCCACATCATTATGGAGTTCACCAATGTAGACGTCAGCATCCATAAACCATTGGGGCGTCAAGATACTTTCACTCAAACTTTATTATCTAGGGGGAGGCATGAATGGGATAGCATTGAGAAGGGAGTGTGAGTGAGAAATTTCGGGTTCGAAATTTTTTACTTATACTAAAAAAAAATTTTAAAAATATTATTATTTAATAAATTTGGAAAAGTAGTCAATTCTTTATCTTAAATTATGTTACAGTTATATCCTCTTCATGAATTAGTATTGATCCCCTTACTACTACCCAAATTTTGCCTATAACTTTTGGATAATTCATATAAAGGAGTAGGCTACTATTCAGTATTCACTCACAATTAATATAATACGTTTTATTTTTATTTAGCAAAATAGCCAAATGGATCTCAATATAATTGCTAAAAATGTATCCCTTCTCCCAGTCTCCGTTTGCCACCAACATCATTCCACCAACACCACCTTGCTCCACCCAAAAAAAAAAAAAAAAAACCATTTAAAACTCCTTCAAAAATTGTGACTTATTTTCTCCAAGAACTTGATAAGTGAGAACTATGGCAATGCTTTGTATCTCTCACCAATTTGACAATTATAAACTACCCAAGGTTGATATCACAGTCTCGTGTTCCATCTTTGGAAGAATTGGTGATGCACAACATCACCGGAGAAGTTCACTATGGAAAATTCTTGTTACCCTTTAATATCTAGGGTTATGTTATCATTTTTTCTTTTTCTTTTTTTTACCGTCCTATATTCTCTACATCCTTTCTACCCCCAACTATTCGGCATAGAATTCAAATTCTAAACTTGACAATGGGAAGGATTCTAACAGTCCTTCCCTGGCCTGGGCTGACTCAGTGGTTTGGGTTATGTTGTCTTTACTAATGGTGTTTGTGAAATTTTTCCAATTTTTATTGGTTTTATTAGTAAATTCAACCTATTATCCAAATTATAATCATTTATTGTTGAACTTTGATAGGTTTAAATAATTGAAGATGCGCAAAATGTTTGACAGGTAAGGCAGCTTGTTTCAACATTGTTTTCCGCAACGTGTCCATCATATTGTGCAGTTCCATGAATATAAACGTTCACTTTGTTGACATGGGGGCAAGGTAGTCCTGCATGGTTTTGAAAGGCTGAAAAGAAGTCTCTAACTTCTGCTACTTATTTTGAAATTCTTTTTTTATTATTTAAAAAAAAAACCGCTTACATATGTGCACTTTAATGAATATAAATGTGCACAAGACATAACCAAATTTGTGTGTAAATTTACCACAAATTACCTAATTCTTAACAAACGCCTGATTTTTGTACATTGGTTTTGTAAAGAGGATACGTTTGTACGATCTTGAATTTGTTATTAATGGCATGATAAGCTAGAAAATCAGCTAGTGATTATTAACTATTATTTCAAAAATTAAATCATAAGGTGGTAAAATTTATCGCACTGTACTTGAAATTTTTTTGGGTTCTCATCTTAAATTGATTCACAATTAAATAATTGAAAAACTTGTAATTGTACTAAAACACCCTAGTTTGTATGTGAACCACTAGTTCTATAGACAAAATATTCTTTTCTAATCTCAAATTTTGTGTTAATGACATGATAGACTGAAAAAAAAAAATCAGCCAATGATGATTAGTAGCTTCATTTCGTAAGCACTTTATAATTCAAAACGAATTATAAGGTGTCAAAATTATTGCCTTTTTTTTGGGGGGGGGGGGGGGGGGAGGGGGGGGAATGTTAAAGTTAGCTTCACAAAACTTAGGTCTGCCTTTCATTTTGGATAAAATTATATTAGAATTACTTTTCTCTTTTCTGAAAAGATCTTTTGAAATAGTTTAAATTAAAACTAAGTTATTGGACCAATTCTATTCGTTTCAAAACAACCCTTCTAATAAGTCAAAAAAGGCACAGAATCAATTTTTTTCCCACTATCAAACGCGCCTTCGTTTATATGGTTACAAGCATGGTGTCAAAAGGCGTGTTGTTATAACACGCCTTTGGGTAGACAGTATTGTAAAAGGCCAGCTGTCAGTGCCCATCCGCTACAAACCACACCACGCCTTCAGCTTAACAGCAAAAAGAGAGGCGATTCTTTCCTACTCACGTTATAAAACAGCTTCCGCATGCATGCAATTACATCAAACCCTAGTGTCCAACCCATGGAGACCAAACCCTTTGCTCGAAATGATGATTGATCAATCATGTCCGAGTCTTTCAGTCCAAGATTCACAGCAATCAGAAAACTTCAAGCTTTATATTCAGCGTGAACTTATTCATCAAATTTTGGTCAGGCTTCCAGTGAAATCCCTATTGAGATTCAATTGCATTTCGAAATCATGGCTATCCTTGATCTCAAGCAAAGAATTTACTAGAGACCATCTAAATTTGAACAATGTCAAAAAACATCTCCTCATTGACGGCTTGGATGGTGAACGTGGCAGGCATCTCAAAGTTTGTTCTCTTCATTCTTTGTTGAATGGAGAAGACGGCCTTACTAATGCTCCTTACCTTTATTTTCCCTTCAAGCAAATTTACACTGAGGTGAATTTTTCACAAGTTTATTTTTTGTAATGGCCCGATTTTCCTAGCTATTAATTACTCACATTTGTACTTGTGGAACCCATCTATAATAAAACGCAAAAAATTGTCTGATTTAGGGTTTGAATTGACCTCCAGTGGCTTTCCTTGTCATCTCCTAAGGTTTGGTTTTGGGTATGATGAATCGAATGATGATTATAAAGTCCTTGCAAGGATATATGATTATATAGCTAGCGCCGTGAGTCTAAAGTTTATAGGGTCAAGGCTAAATCTTAGAGGAGTGTCGTGGATTTTCATGTCTATTGGCACTTAGGTGATGGGGTATTTGCGAATGGGAAGCTGTATTGGATCGAATCTAGCAGATTTTAGACCTATCATATCATTTGATCTAGCAACAGAGACATTTGGAGAGGTGGATCGACCAAATGTTGATTATTCATTCACAAATCTGGGAACTCTTGAGGGGAAGCTTTGCTTGATTTATGATATATATCTCAGTGATTCGAAAGAAGTATGGTTTACGAAGAAAAATGGTGAGAGCAGAGCATCTTGGACTAAAATACTAAGTATTTCGCATGACATTTTCGCTGGACCTTTGACAGCTGCAGTATCCATATTTCCAAAGGGTGAATTTTTAGTCTAGGATACTGGCATACTTTGCGTCTACAATCCTAAGGATCAGTCTATCAAGCATGTCAAGTACGCTTTCGGCTTTAGAACTCTAGGTGCTAGTTATTTTAGTGAAAGCCTGGGGTTTCCTATCCTTGAATGATGCACAAGAAAGCTACAAGAATCAGAAAAGCCAAAGATACCAGGGAGGGATATTTGGTTGTTCTGATGACTGATTGTCTGACAGTCTCCTTATTTGTTTTTTTCAGTTACAAAGGAGAGCTAAGCAGCTCAATGCATAGATAATAAACCGGGGGGCCCATGATATCCAAATTCATCCATCTGCTAACTATGTCTGGAGGACTCCTTAAGCAATATACATCCCCGGCTCCTTGTTGAGGCTGTCTTTAGCTAAGCAATTCGCATTGTTGTTCCCTTCTCGCCAAATATGCGATATCCTTACCTCCCATTCCTTGTGTCTCCACTATTCAATTCATTTCAGCAGATTAGAGTGAGGGCTAAATTCAGGTGGTTTGTTTAGAAGCATAATTGCAGCTTTTGAATCTGTTTCTATAATCACTCTTTCATGTCCTGCTTCCCAGGCCAACTGTAGTCCATGGATGATTCCCCATAACTCCGCTGCTATATTCAATGCTGATCCCAAATTCACTTCAAATCCTCCTTTCCATATACCAAACTCATCTCTCATAATTCCTCCTACTCCAGACACCCTAAGATTGCTTGCTGACGCCCCATCTACATTTAATTTGGTCTAGCCCTTTGAAGATTTCTTCTAGTGAATGAAGCGCCAATCTTTCCTATTTATATCTATTCCTTTTAGTATTGCTATCTGTGCTTGTCTCGCCTGAACCACAATCTGATTAGCTGAGATCTTCAACTTTGACTCCTCTCCTGTTATGTTGAACTCATTCCTCGTTTTCCAAACTGAGTACACCTTCTCTTGGAAAATGAATTGCCAGCATATATCACCATGGACTCCCACCTTAACCATTCTCAAATTCCAGTCCAGCCATTCCTTATGATTAGTGTTCATAAACTCTTCCCATCTACTTGGGTGAACTAGATTTTTCCAAATCCTCTGTACTCTAGAACAATCCCTTAGAGCATGCAATATCGATTCTCTCGCTTGCAAATAGGGCATTTTCCATCAATGCAAAGGTGCCTTCTGAATTTCTCGGCATTAGTGATCAACCTTCCACTCCAAATTGACCATAACAAAAATTGCCATCTACTAGGTCCTTTCTAATGCCAAATTTTATCCCAACCTCGACCCATACTTTCACTTCCAAAAGAATCTCAGCACTCCGCCTCATATACTGACCGAGTTGAGAACCTCCCATTCGCCTCATATCCCTAGCACACTACATCACAATTCTGCTCTCCGGATTTACACACAAAGCTCTGATTTCTAACAAGCGCTTTTGCAGTAAGTATTATGAAAACTCATTCTAATTCCAGCCCCTTGTGTTAATCCCAATGCTAACTTACTGTCCTGTCTGTCGCTTCCTCTGGCAACTCTTTCAGCACATCATCCTTTAAAGATGAATTCTCCACCCAGTAATCTTCCCATAAGCGAATACGCTCGCTATTTCCCGACCTCCATTTCAAACCTATACTTACCACTTCATTTCCAACCCTCAAGCTTCTCCAAACTGGTGAAGCGCCTGTTTTGGAAGGTGTTTTAAACCTTTGGAATTCCTCTTCACTGCTATATTTACTTCTAAGGACCTCTGTCCATAATGCTCCCTTTTGTTCGTGGTATCTCCAGTTGAATTTTGCAATTAAAGCTTTATTCGCTTCCTTTAATCTCAGTATTCCTAAACCCCCCTTGCCTCTAGCTTGGGTTACAATTCTCCAGCCTATGTGGTGCATACCTCTGCTGTCCTTCGTTCCATTCCATAGGAAGTTCCTCATGCATTTCTCCAACTCATCCAATACGTAAGTAGGAATTGCCACCGTCTGCATCATGCAAGTTGGGAGTGCTGATAACAATGTCTTAATCAAAGTCACTTTCACTGCATACTTCTTCCAGCCTACAAGTTTCCCTTGAACTTTAATAAACCTGAAAACATGTCTTTGGACACCCTATTATGAAGTATTGGCATTCCCAAATATTGCCCCAGGTCATGTGGCATCCTCATCCCTGTTTATGTGCTAATTTTCTTTACTATCCTTCTGGATATGTTCTTAGAACAAAACAAATTGAATTTAGCCACATTAATTTTCTGCCCAGACATATTACAAAACTTTTACATTACGTTAGCTATAACTTTAGCTTGTTCAACACTAGCTTCTGAAATAAGATGAGGTCGTCTGCAAACATCAGATGAGAGAGTTTTGGACCTGTTCTGCAAATTGGTTACTTGCAAATTGGAAATTGGACATTAACTTGGAATTTCTTGTTGTTTTCTGATTACTTTCATTCTGTACCTTTAATATTATTGGATGTGAATAAGAAACCTGATATTCTGAGTAACAATGCATGATTGGTTCTTCAATTAACATTTATTTGGAGCTGTATAAACAGAAAAAGAAATCTGCAGGGAGGATAAGCAGATTGTAGTTTTTCATGATTATGCTCAAGTGTTTAGCTTAATTTCTTCAGCATGCTAATGTTTTCAGGAGCTGCCAAGCATGTTTAGTAAATAATCATGCAGAAGCAAAACGTCTTAAACAAAGCACAAGTTGCCATCCTACTACTACATGCAAAAACAAAACATCATAGGCCAAGAAACAGGACTACATCCTGGACTTCAAACATTAGAAGGAAAAGAAGAAACCACAAACAAAGATAAGCTGACAAGCCAAATGCAGCCTAAAGTTTGGAACCTGAAGAATACTCTACAGAGGTCAATAAATTGAATCTGTTGATAAAAGGCATTTTTTGGTCTTGATAACTCAAGAACATTTTTTCAGACATTTTATGACATTGAATTATTTTTTACTTTTTGTATTGATACAAGAAAGAAGTGTGTATTTACAGTACAGGTATGTGCTCGTACCATCCTTAAATATAGTACTGGTATGTGGATCCATTTTTTTTAATAACCCAATCACGAATACAATAGCATCAAATAGGTGAATATGTTTAATCTGAATTCTCAATAGGAAAAAATTGGACATCAAGCGCAACAAAAGTTACAAAAGCGGTGGTGTTCATAACTCAAGCACTAACTAATACAATGCTTACAATTGAGCCAAAAAAATTCAAGGCAATTGCATGAAAATCTAAACTTGTGAACCATCTGCCTGGGAAAAGTAAAAAAACTCTTCCTGCTGTAGATCTATAGCATATCATCCACATATTATTGGTAGCTCACTCTCTCACCCCTCACTACCTCATCGATGCAATGCATTGAATTTGTCCCTCTCCAACCCTTAGTATTCTGATAGCAGCCTCCTTGTCAACAACTAAAACCATTCTCATCCCCATATTAAAGGCTAGACTTGTACTTGAATTTTGTTGCAGGTAAGCTACATCAATCAGCTGATTGATCTTTAAGAAAGAATCCAACCTGAGACATAATCTATCTTTTCTCATGTCATAGACCAATCCATTTTCAGTCATCCCAGTCCAGAGCAAGCCCTATTTGAGGAAAAATCCAATCATATTCTGCTAAGCTAATAAGTAGACAGAATACTCACTTGATTTGGAGAGGATCACAGACTATGCATCCTTATCTAGAACAATAAATTATAAGAAATGTAAAAGGGCTATTTGGGAATTATCCCTACCTTCAAAATAGAAAAAGAGGCCAGACACACGTGCAAAGCAATGGTCGTTGCTGATTTTTTTTCCTAGCAAGAAACAAGAACCATTTTCGGGAAGGAGAGAAAAAGGTACAGTACTCCAGCAGCAATATTTTCCGTTTCCAAATTGGATGTCTCAGCTGCTTCTAAGAACTTGGTCATTTAACCTTATCTCTCTGGCAAATCACTACAAAGATAACATTTCTCAACACACTAAGGATTCAATGACGGAATCAAAATATAGATCATCAACCAATGAGATTTTTATTATCATTCAGCCATAAAGACACCATCACTCACCATGCTTAACATACACATTAGAACACACTGTGACATAGAAGCAAAGGATCAATTAATCAGGATACACTTGCAAAGAAAAACAACACCATTAGTATCCCTAACAGCATTCCGTACTTTTTCCACATTCTGGGAAGATAGTTTGTGAAAAGACAGCGAAATCTGGTCTTCATCTCACTCAGTTTATGAGGCTAAATTACTAATCATCGAACTAAGCTTATGACCAAATGCTTCCACGAATGCCAAAGACCAGAGTATTGTGTATGATTCCAATCCTATCTTCTTCTTATAACCAGTCAACTAAAAATTCATCAACCATATATAAGTATTGATGTAGACTAAATTAAGCAAAAAAAGACAGCAATTATAGCTAAATATCGTCAATATCCATAGTATGACAAATTGAAGCTCTCAAATGGCAACATTTCCTTAATTCAAATAGAAAATGGAAAATGGAGCAATCTGGAATGATGTCCATGCAAGAGTCAAAATAACCATATGACTCACACCCTAATGATATCCACAATCTGTTTACAATATATTAGATATTATTTTTGTTAACTTTTATGTGCCTAGATACCAGTTGAATTAAAAACTAAAGAACAAGAACAAAAAGAATATTCAATGGAACCATACCTAAAGGATGTTACTCTCTAAATCCTCCAATTTCAGGTGTCATCTTGGCCATTCTTCTAACAAGCTCAGATCCAGCATCAATGTGAACACCAGCATCCTTATATGTAAGTCCGTCAGTATTATCTTTGGCTTTTTCATCACGACTACTGCTTGACATTGACAGGACAATGGTAGTTCCTCTACTTCTACAATCAAATTTTGTGCACAACCCACATGACACCAAAAATTTCTGCGAGAGGCAACTAGACTTCAGCATTGGCACATTTGAGTCCTTAATACACAACTCCCAATGTGGAATTACTATAGTTGTAATGCACTGCAATAGTTCTTTAGTCGCTCCATAGGAGGTAGACATGGAAAGCCTAAGAAAATGGGTCTTAAGACAATTGCAAGAAGGTTTATTTACAACTAAAGTAGCATTCACAGCACCCAAAAGCCTAAAAAGAGGAAAAGAAAAAAATCAGGACAAAGTGCTCTATCAAAATTTTTTTCTTTGAGATATGAATGTGATGCTTTTGTATAGAATATGCAGGCATTATCATAGCTTCATTTTTGTCGAGTGCAGAATGCACATTTACTCTTAAAAACCAACTTCTACCATTAAACCCAAACAACTAAACAGTATTGTCTTGGTTGTTACGGGGAGCTAAAAAGATGTTGAGTTTAACTTTGGAGGAGACAAGCCAAATTAACAATGCCCAAAAACCGGCATATATACACTTAAACATCGTCTCCTTTGGATGGTTTCTTTTCATAAAATTTTACTTTATCACTTTCTTTCGTTGAAATGTACATGTGGGCTGAAATGGTACTTAGATAATTGGACAACGAGTTCAAGTTAAATTCATGTTCAGGTTTTGATATGTCTAGTGATTTTATCACTCGATTATCACATTTCTATTGATCTACATAACTAAAATGCCCACGTAAAAATTAATTTCAAGCTTCATTCCCTCAGATATTAGAAAGAAAATGATGCAGTAAGCAGATTAAAGTTTTTACTTAGCTGAACAACCAATAACAATCCATCTGAAATCAAGTTCATCATTCAGGTCTTTCATCAAATGCGTGATATGCATGCAAAATACAAGCTTTTACTGCCAAATTGTGCACATCCAAACGCATTCAAGATTCCAAACACATATATCCCAGTTCTAATTTACCCTAAGGACTTAAAAATCATACAAAACACAAAGCCAAATGATGAAAACGAAAACTTACAGAAATTTCAAGAAAGTTGATTTACTGGTGAAGTCAGTCACCGAGGGGCAACAGACACCAAAAGAGTTGCGGGACTGAAGGAATTGAATCCTCTTTAAGTCAAAGGAACTCATTAACCATATAGTATGAGAGAGAATGCCCCTGCCACATCAGGATAATGGTCTGCCCATATGGCAGATGGAGATTGGCTGTTGGTGAGACGAACTTTGCTGTCCTCTCTGTTACTTTTTTTTTAAGTTGGCAATAACATTCCTATAAGCTAATTTAGGAGGTATACAGATTCGAGGTGCTTTGGCACTTCTTTTTTATTTTTTTTTATTATAGATGAAGTTTGAACTCCTGACATACCGTTCAAAAAAGAATTTAATATTTTTTTGATGGCCACCGAGTTAAAACTCGGTAGTTTTCCTCCCTATTACATCGTTTGAGCTTTTTTTTACCCTTTGGTAAATTAAAAGGCGTTGTGCTGATGAACTGTCAACCCTAGATAATTTTGGCATTTTTTTGGCATTTTTTGTCCCCTCCCCCGGTTCTCTCTTTCTTTCAAAATGCATCATTCCTATTATTGTTGTCCTCTAGACAATTGCGTCTGCGAGAGACTTAGAGCTCTCCCCTCAATTTTTAATGTTTGATCATACTTGTAAGAGGTTGTAATCTCAATTTCAATTGGACGGTCCAAATTTTTTTCTTCTGAGGAGTTGTTTAGGATCCGATAATCTTCCTCCCCTCCCTCTGTCATTTTCTCCCTTTTCTCCCTCCTATTCTTCATCTCTCTTCCTCCCTCCCTCCCTTCCTCGAGTAATTATGGTTGATTTCTTTTGTTTTTCTGCCATTTTTTAAATATTTCCTTGGCTAAAAGCAACAAACCTTTCTTTCCCTTCTTTGTGTCCCTTCCTTAAAGAATGAGGAAGGGGAAGCTCAATATTTCATCTATACTATCTGATGTGAATTTCTAGCATACAAATATGGTATTCTTCTTTCACTTTTTTCCATGATTAATGTCTAAGTTTCATTTCAGGTTTATTAGTGACTTTTTGTCCTTGAATCTCTCTAACTAGAAGACAAACTTTTAAAGTGACCTGAATAATTGATTATTAGCTAGCTTTTAGATATTTATTTACTTTTTCTGTACCTATTTGGTGTTTTATTGTTCCATTTTTCTTTTAAATTTTTGCCTTTCTCAGATTTCTTCTTCAACAGGGAGAAAAAATGGCCACCATGAAAGACAAATGGTGAGGGAAAACATAAGTTTTATTTTATCATTTTGATTTAATTTTTTTGAAATTGCTCTCTTCTTACCTCAAATGATGTTATGTTCTTTTTAGTCGTTTTCTTTGGCCTTTGCTCTCTTCAAACCTCATTCGAGTCATCTTTTCAATCATTTCTTGGGCATCTTTCTTGAAGATATTTTGTTGATCTCCTGCTCAAAAAAGCAATCCATATGGTAACTACAAGACAACGAGTAAACTGAAACTAATGAACTAAAGATAGACGCAAATAATAACTAAACTAATAAAATTAAGCATTGTCCGGACAACGGCGTCAAAAACTCGATTGACTATTTTTGTAAGTGTATAGAGTCGATCATTGTAATAAATCAATTGAAATATTCTAGGGATCGAACCCACAAGGAGGAACTAATTTTTCCTACTTTAATTATTATGTAAAGAAAGCAATAAAATTCAAATTCAAGAGTTTTAATTTATAATTAAGAAATAAAATAAATAATCAAGTCAAATAAAAGAAAGTTAAGAAAACAATGGGTCAGGGACTAGGGTTTCAAATTTTGATCCAATGTTTGAATTCATTATACAGTTATTTTCTTAACATGTCAATAGCATGTCATACACAACTATTTTAGATTATCTCTCGATACATTTAAATTTTGCCCAATTAAGTCTCATATCTCTCTCTCTCTCTCTCTCGAGATCACAAGTATTCAATTGAATAATTTACGTGATTTAATTATGTCATGTAAATCCTAAACTACACTCATGTTTAGGTTAAGTACGTTTATTTATTTAGTGTATGATTGTATATCCCTTTTTATTTCAATATGAGCCCCAAAAGCATGTCTATGATGATCAAACACAAACATGTAATTAAACAAAATAGATAAATAAAGGCAAAAGTCAAGAATTTGACTAGGACAAATAATCAAATCTGCTTCGCAAAACTCAAACCCAGGAAACAAATTAGTTCAACATGGATATAGATAAAACCATTGATAAATCTAAGAATTCAAACAACAAATACAATACTGAAGAATAGAATAAGGAAAACTTCTCTATCTTTGATGTCCTAGCCTTCATATTGATTGCTTCTTAATTCTTGCTTATGTCCAAGTATAGTAGGAATAAGCTTTCTCGATAATTTCTCCCATTTTTCAGCTAGTAATACTTCACTGCTTTGCACGTGAATATAGTAAGTCAAATAAAACATTTTTTAGGTATTAAAATTTGTTATGAAGTTTCGATTATCTATCTCATAATACAACTTATGTATGTTTGTCAATTTCTTTAACCCATTTTATCTGCAAACATTATTCAATTTTGACTGAACCTTTTTTTTGAGCTTTTTTGATTATTTTTGGATTGAACTTTAATAGCAATTGTTAACACTATCATGTTTTACCAAAAGTATTGTGATTACCCTTAAATGATAAAATTGCACTTTTTTGTATAGTACAAAATGTTAAGAAGGAAACACACACACACACACACACAGAGACATCAAGTATGGGAGAAGCAAATCTATTTTAAGTGATACTACAATGTTAAAGGGGCACTAGAGTAATACATGAATTGACTTATTAGATCGTTGTCATTCCGATTCTTGTATTATGCATCTACAACACTTTTCTCTCCCTTATGCCTTTGCAAGCTCATTTATCAGGTAGGTTCCAAATATGCCTTTTTCTAGTTGAAAATAAAATCTATGATAGACTTTCTAGTAAAATTATCAAATTTTAATAGTTGAAAAACTAAGATTTGATTAAATCATTAAACACTTCCTGAATAGTATTTACAATATCAATACATATGATTATTGATTATTTAATTTTAGAATTACAATCGGTTGATTATTTAAGAATGAAGTACATGAATAATATTTCTTTTTGTCTTTAGACTCAGGTTTTCTACAATTTTCATTTTACATAAAATCTATTTCTTTGTATGGCAAACCATTATGATTATCATGCTATATGACTTGAATTAGTTAGCTTTTTGGTGAAGCTATTTAAGGTGAAGTGAGCTACACTATTTTTTAATTTTTTTTGCACCATTTTTTGAATTGTATAAATGTCTACTTTTTGTATATAAACTCTTTGTAATTATTTAATTCATGAAGGTATTTATAATCCAGTATAATCAATTATTTTTGTGTGAAATTGAAATTTCATTGGTAAAGGTAGTTGAGTTTTCTCTTTTTCGTTTATCTTCTTGTCTTTACAAATTTGTTTAGAGAAAATGCAACATAAAGCACAAACAACAACTACCCTCCTAATTTGATAAATGGCATGTTAAATATGGGTACATCTGAATTGATCTATGGATGCTATTTCCCTTTTTGTCTTAGGCGAAAAAACTCTAGTTGTGATATCAAAATCAGTTAGTTGATTACAAGTGAAGTATAAGAAAAGAATTCTTTTATTTGCTTAGATTGGGTGACATGTACTTTCATGTCAATTAAAATTAAATTGTTTGCATGTTTGTTAGTTGTATGAACATTTAAGTGCTCTCTTTTATGTCTTGCTGGTTGTTCAACTTTTCATTTTTTATATGAATTTGAATTGGATAAAGTGAGATGCAGTGTTCAATAAATTTGGACTGTTTACGTTTTATCTACGTGTTTTTGTTGTTAAGAAAGAATGTAAATGATTCAATTCATAATGCTCAATCATTTTAGATTGTTGTTTAGTTGTCAATTAAAATATTCATTTGATTAAAATAGTTGGGTTTTCTATTTGGCTTTTTTTTTATTATTGGTAAAAAGTACATAATTGTGCAATTTGCCCATGGTATTTGTATGAAGATATACAAATGAATAAGAGTTCTTTTCTCCTTATTTGTTTCTCCTTTTTCTAGAGTGTATCTAATTTTTGATATATATATATATATATATATATATTACAATCTCAACTTATGGCTAATAAGCAATTTTTCATGCTTTGATTAAGAAATTTTGGTATGTGTAATAATTGAAGATGGAGTCCAAGGGTAGCAAAGAAATTTTTAATGGGCAATTTTTAATTGTAATTAACAACATTATTCAGATGTAATCAATTTGAATGTTTCAATTCTTTTAATTAGTGCCACATTGAAATACAATAGTTCTCAATAATAGACCTGAGGGTAATATAGACATAAAAAATTTGAGACAAAAAATGGTCACATTCCCTGATGCTAAGACTTATTTTACTTTTTATATAGTAATGATAATGATAATGATTACATGGTCTCTTTAGGGAATCATTCCCTCAATTTCTATGGGGGCGCTTGGGGGCGCTTGGTTCAAGTTTAGGAATTGGAATTGTAATTGGAATCATAGACTCTGGTTTTGGAATTAAAACTTTTCATTCCAATATCTTGCTTGGTTCACACATTGGAATTAGCATTATTCCAATTCCTGATGCTTGGTTTGATGAGTGTTTCGGAATTAAATGCAATTAAATTCCAAATTTACCCCTGATATAACAATTCTTCTAAAACAAAAGAATTACACATACGACAAATTAACATTTTCATAATTGTAACTACAATAGTTATTAACTTTTTGATAAAACATAAGAAAATCATAAATAATAAAAAAATTAATACCAGAAAATAAATATAGTGGCTGCATTAACAAGGAGTAAATTCCCAAAAAAAGGAGTTTTTAAACAATCACCCAAAAGGTGACGATTTTTTAGTCTCTTCCCAAAGGGTGAAAAATGCATCCAAGGAATGTGTTCTTCCAAATAAAAACGCAACTTTCAAATACGTTATTTTATGTTTTGGAAATTTATTTAAATATGAAAAATTGGTTAAATAGCCCATAAGATACCAGCTCTTTATGGAAAACTAGCAGGTTTTGTACCAGCTTTATGGAAAAAATTGATTAAATAGTGCCCAAAGGAAAACTAGTATGTTTTGTATTTAACATAAATTAAATATGTGAAAGTTAAAAAAACAAAAT